CCTTTATTATGCATGCATTTAGCGAGTGCTGATTGGTTCCCTTGGAAAGCCGAGGGAAAAATAAAGAACAAGTTAAAACGCAGCTGCAAGATTCCCAAGACGCGTCGTTAGTGCGAGCTGGCGCGCATACAGTCTAATCGTGAGTCGTAAGGGGGCGAATTATGCACGGGTGTCCGCTATCAAGCACTAACGTCTTGAAATCAAGACTATCCATTCGTTTGCACTGCACTTTCTGGTTCACAGTGACGTCATACTTCGGTACTACACCAAATACGCGCCTATAGAAAACAGAGCAAAATCGGACCGAATTAACGCCGCCTGTTGACTCTCCTGAAGAGGTTGGCCTCTGTTTTTTTCACTGGAAATTCAAGATCACTTTTCGTCTCAATTTCATGGGGATTTGCCACGAAAATGTTTTTTATTCGTCTTTGACCAAAGATACCCCCCAAATAGCAATAAAACTAAGCGTTCATTTCTCAGGCTGAATGTAGCCGTCCGCCTCTATCCAAAATAGGTCGGCAATTTCGGGCTTTTTCTGAAAGAAATACCTTGAACTGGAAAATATCAGTCCTAAATTCGTCATTTATAGAAATATTTCTATGATGTCTCCTGTGGGATCACAAAATATTAATAAGCTCGCGCGCACAAATGCAACCATTTGGTGCAATGCACAGGTTTACACTTTGACAAATGCGCATACGTGGTAGAGCCTCGTTTTGAAGTTGCGACGAAAACTTTCAAAATGGCGGTGCCGTGCTGTCACGTGCGTCTGAGACAGATTTACCTGGGCCTCAGTATACGTTATCTGGCCGCTCTCGGGTATGGTCATGAATAATGCAATACATCACGTAAATATGAATAAAACAACATGACGTGCTTGACCCGTTCCTGCTTGCGCTTGCACGACGTGTATGACGCGTTCAGAGTCACCAACACGGACGTATATAATAAAATCTGGACTCGCAATGCCCTTAATCATAATTAATTAATAAATTTGGTTGACAGATTTCGCACACTGTGATTGGTCAGCGCGTTGCAAACTCTTTGATGAGGCGCAATTTTGTGAAACGCCCGTCTTATTCACCCAGAAGAAGTTCCCATATATAAACCGTTTTTTTTTTCAAAATCCCTCTACTTTCTCGGGCCCTTACCTTAGGACCATTTTTCAACCGTATTTTTTAACCATTCCTGGCCTCAGAGCCCACAGAACTAGGGATTTGATCCTGGCAAAGATTTACACAAGCTATAGCCATAGGGAGAGGGACAAGCCCTTTTTCAAAAGATACTGGATGGCAACTTTTAATGCTAATGAGCTTGGCGGAAATTGTTGCTTTAATAACTGGACGGCACCCTTCGTATCCAGTCCGCGCCATAGTCCGTGCATAAAGATCATAAGTAGAGCTATAGAGGCATTGCTGTAGAATAAAAAGACTAGATCTGCAACGCGTGTTTACTGTTTACGTGCGGTCTTGCCTGGATAGTCACGTCCAACAGGAGAAAAGATAAAAAAAAACCAGCATCAGACGTAAAGCGGAAAGGCAATCGCACGTTTAGGAGTGGTCCTTATTTTAGTGGCGCGATTAAACCACTGTAGGCCTAATAGTAATCATAGTAATAGTAATTTTCCTTAATATGACTTATTAAACACAAAAAGCGAAAATCTGCTGAGAAATCATAATTTTAGAGTGAAACAAAACAAACATCTCAGTGGGAAACACAATAATACAATGTATAAATTATTCATTTCACAGTGATTTTCCTTCTATAGTTATAATTTTCTGCTGATCGGCTGATAGCAATTCACGATCCATAACACGCAAAACACAACCAGCCCATTACATTTTTTCACGCAGTTAAGTTGAACTTTGTTAGGGCCTATTGCCAACACTGAATTTCCCACCAGCTGCCTCATGCTCTATTCCCAGTATTACAGTGTTGGGTATAGAAGCCGCCTCTAGCTATCGCACTGACAGGGAAGTCTTTAAATCACCCATTTTTTGAAAGGTGGAAGGGGTTAGCCTCAAATTATCTACCAATCAGTATCTGAATATCATTTACAGGTATATGTGATTTCATTTTCTATATTGAGCAAAAGCTCGAGCATCTTAACCAAACTGAAACCCTCTTTGGTAAATACACATACCAGGAAATGTAGTATGAAATATGTTAGAGTCATAAATATGATCTGTTTTGACCTTGCTCGGATATAAACTGCATCCACTGACTTATCTTTCATTCGCCTGAGGATCCTACTCTCACTCTTCACCTCAATACTTTGAGTATGGACCTTTTGCCAGTTACTTTCCTGATAACCATTCTCAAGTTTCAGCTTTCAAGAGGTAAGATTGTTAAAGCATTTTAGAATTTCCAAGCGCAAACCTTTGACCAAATTAATATTGTACAAAGACACATCACAGCTTGAATGAAAGGTTATGACTGGCATCTCAGTAGTGTTAGCACTGCGTAAATTTCTGACTCGCCAACCGATGTACATTTTTTCTACAGGGGAACTGAAAGCAAAGCTGGTTTGTATACGCGTATGCGTGTGCTGTTGAAGCATTTTAAATAGGGATACCATGGGTCCGTACATCCACCGGGGGGATGTGCCATTGTTAAGGCCTATGTAGTATTGTTCGCACCTTCAAAGGCAATATTATCACTATACAGTGAACGGTCGGTCAAGGGGGTGCGCTTCAAGATACAGAAATGCTTTGGGCATTCACGCAAACAGTCCCCAAGGCTTTATAATTAACCTGTTGAAGAATTAGTTTTTAGTAACTGAATTCATCGCGTGTCATTTTGCACGACTTCTAAGTTCGACAAGAGCACTTCACACAACTCTGTTATAGTTCACGCAGTCATTTCCGATGCAAATCCTATTTAAACATGTGCGCTTTCTGACAGTCAGCAAGCCAAGCTGGAGAGCATCTGTTGTAATTTCAGTCGAAAATATCTTAAGGTAAGAAATGTACACTAAAAACTTTCTATTCGTGAATGGTGTAACTGGTGGTAACCCCCCTCCCCGCTTTAAGTCTGGGCGACCCCCCCCCCATGTGCCCCTCCCTCAGCCTAGTCTGGATACCAGACCCGGTGATTCTGACTTTTCTCGTCGTATCAAGGGTCCAGTATCACTCAGTGTCCAAGTGACTAAAACTAGAGGAATTCCTCCAGTTTCCGAATAGTCAAAATATTCCGAATTCGCCCCGTCCACATTCTGATAGCATGTATTTCCAATACTTCTGGCTGTGTCTGTTTGCATAATGAGATATATTTTTCTTTTGCTTGTTGTCCATGTGTAAGACGATGTTGCCCTCTTTCTGCGCATATTGAGTTTCTTGCATGTTTTCAGTGTGACAGTCGACATCATCAGCCTGCATGTACACGCATATCTAAACATAGGATCCATCTAGACCTTGTCTCTTTACATGTTGTGTCATGATCTATTTATATCCTTGGGTAATACCTACAAGTTTATCAAGAGTCGTCGGGGAATCTTTGGTCAGGGAACCATACTACCCTCAGCCCTGCTAATAAATTTGAGAAGAAAAAACTGTTGATATTCTGACTTGGTCGATCAGTGTTACCTTTCAATAAGTTAGCTGTTTACCTGTGGTGATAGCACTGTGTTATCGACTAACTGTCGCCGGACTCCGTCGGTTGTCGGGTGGTGGGGCATTTGCGAGGGTGTAAGATGTGGAATCTCATCAAAACAAGCATGTATTTTGTTTTCATAATTATTTGTAAAGCACTTATTAACATACTGTGCGTAATAAAATCACGTCGGTGAGCCTGGCAAAACTAAGTATTATGTATTATGAAAATTTGCCTCACTTTGACAAGTAAAGTTTAATGTTACAGACTCTCTGGCAAAGCATCTNNATCTGTGTTACAAATGTAAGAGAATATAAAAACGTTAGTTGGCCTATAAGGACATTGGCCCGCTCGCTCGCCTTTTAACCCAACCCACAATCCCTTAACGGCGCTGGTGTGACTGGGTAGGGCCATACATTGACCTACTTCAAGTTGGCCATACAAATAAAATAGCGGTTATGGTCGAGCCAGTTTAAAAGGACTTTTCTACTCGTTCTTGACCCTGGAAACATCAGTCTTGTTATTGGTACGATTTTTGGTTGTTATTGTTGTCGTCGTCGTCGTTATGATTTTCTCATCCTTTTTGTTAGGTCAAATAGAATACGCAGTTCGGATTTACCCTGCAGAGAAGTACGTGGCTTCCATAGGAGAAAATGTGACCTTCTCTTGCTTAGTGACTGGCCACCAAAGAAATGACGGGCCGAGCATTCACGCATTTTGGCAACACGGCGGTAAAACAGTGAAACATTGTCAGTTCCCACCAAAACCCAACCGAGATGTTTTTGACGAACGTTGCAACTTGACTGTTTATAGAGTGGCAATGGAGCGCCAGTACAAGTGCACTCTGTTCTACCAGGGCACACAAACTGAAACTCTCCTAGTCGAAGTAATTGGTGAGTTTTGACGAAAACGAACGGCACTTTCTTCTGCTATAAATGCCTTTCAACTTAAGTGTCACATGAAGACAATAACTATACACGTCACGAATCAGCAGATTATCCCCAAGAAGTAAAACAGATCTTTAGATGATTTCTTTGGCATTGGTCTCGTGCAATAGCAGTGTCGACGTGACCGTAAACCAACTTCCTGGAGTTCATTTATGAAAGAAAAAACATGTTTGTGAATAACCAAAATAATAACCATTGGTGGTCTCGGAATATTCCACGAGTAGCGAGAGTGTTATTAGATGGAACCGAAACAGCATTTTTTTGAGTTTCACTTTAAAACGATATTTCTAATCTCTTTATTGTTTGGTTCTATTTTGAGAATTGGGGACGATGCTCGGTGGCATGTAAGTTTTGAGAGACAAGGGATGGAAAGTTTGTTATCACTCTAAATATTTCGAGCTCTAATTGGGAATTCCCTAGTTCTTGCTAAGAACATTTAGGCTTGGTTTCTGTTTTGGTATCCAAAACTTGACAATGCACAAGTTTGGGCATAATTCTTATTGACCTTTATGATGGTGCATTATGGACTTTCCATAATTAAATGTTTACTCTATGTGATTCATGATAGATCAAGTTCAGTAGGAAATGGGGCAACTTTCTGAGCACAAAAGAATCCGGCATTATCTCTCTTCCTACAACCATGTTGTTCGTCATTTCATCTAATTTCTTCACTCTTTGCTGACTTTCCATATACTTTTGCTAAAATAAACAAGAATATGTTCTTCTCAAGCCGTTCTTACCAAACCATTGGCACCAGGCAATATATTCTCGTTCTGACTTGTGTCAATGCTTTCTTTGCATACATGCAGTGCCTGTAATAGATATAAGAGATCTCTACACAGGGAATCTTATCGACAGTGACACGAGGCCAAGCTGCGTCTTGCCTGGCTCTGCGCGCAACTTCGAGTGCACCGTTCGCGACGCTCATCCTGGCCACTGGGAGATCACATGGATCATCGACAGAGAGCTCGTGGTCACTGGCTCAGAAGTGAAAGAATCAGGTGGCCTAGCCAACGTCAGCAGCAGGCTCACTGTTTCCAGTTTGCCTATTCAGCTAGTGAAGAATCTCACTTGTCAAGCTTCGTGTGTTGACACTCAGTTGCTTAGCAGGACAGTGCAGCTCCAGGCATGTCATGGTGAGGAAAGTATTCAGGGCTGAATCTCTCGTTCCTCTATCTTTTTCCATTTGAAGTGAGTAACCATCTCTTGCCTATTTATTTATCCTTCAGACGTACAACTGAATCCTTCCATCGACTTGCACGACCTGTCAACTGGAAATCTTATCAGATGGGCATCAACTGTAGTCTGCATCGAACCTGGTACAGATCGATCTTTTCAATGCACAATTAGAGACACTCTACAAAACCTCTCGAATATAACATGGATCGTCAATGGAGAAGAAGTTGAAGCCGGGATCACCGATGCAGCCGGTGGAGTAAATGGACTGGTAAACGTTAGCAGCGTGTTTACCTTGTCTAAGTGGCGAAATGGTGGAACAATCAAGAGTCTTACTTGTCGTGCTACAGGTGTCCTTGAAGAACCGCTTAATGTCTCAGTCTACCTTAACATTTGCTTTGGTAAGATCAAGACAATGTTCCTGTGTTTGTTTGTTTGTTTGTTTGTTTGTTTGTTTGTTTGTTTG